AGAAGCTACTGAAAAAAGAAATGTGAGATGATACAGGTGGCAGAGAAGTAGCAATTTTTGTAAGCCAACATTGGGACAAACAAAGAAAGAGGAAAACTAACTCAGGCTTTAACAAAATACAAACCTGCCTCAGTTTTTATAAAAGGAATAGCAGAGACACACTTAGAGGGACTGATACATAGCTGCCCAGGGAAACACAGGAAGGCCATAATCTTCAAGACACAAAAGCAAAAAAGTGCTGAATTCAAATCAAGAGAAATAAAGAGGGAAAATTCCTCTGAGTGTGCTAACACCCATAATAAAGCACAGCACATGTGCAAGCATCTTAGGACACCTGTGGGCCAGAAGGAACCTGAGAAGCTCCCTCTTGAGCAAGAAATGGTCACTAAAAATCAATATATCAATATCATTTAGTTTACAAATACAAAATATTGTTCTATCCTTTTTGTGGCAATGGAAGTAAATCTACATCTAAGTGCTTTCATACACATGTGCCTGTGAGAAGGGCCCAGCTGGTTTGTCCTATAGAGTTTACAGAAAGTTCATAGAAAGAATAAACTTGAGAAACAACAGTCATGTTTAAATTAGCCTCACATTTTTATTTTCCATACTTCCCCTTCAGTATTTTTAACTTTCATTTTCAAGTTTTAAATTCTCTGAAAATATCCCCTCAACTCATTCCAAGGGCAATATGTTCAGCTACTGGATGCAGACACAGATCAAAAAACCCTTGAACTTTATGGAAAGACTATCTTGTGGTTCCTACAACTACAATAACGTACTTAAGACTGCTGTTCTGCATTTAAATTACAGCTCTTGTTACTGGCCATTGTTTAGCATGTCCATTTCTGGAAACCCGAGGCTTTCTTCCCTTTCTCATACAAATAGTTAAAAATTTTCACTAACATTTAGGTTGTAAATAACATCTTACAAAAACCACGCTGTTCTTCTATGACATTCTTTGTATTAATTAAGGCTATTCTTCATCCTAATTCTACCTTTCAAGGTATACTCTCATATAAAAGCCAAAAGTCATTTTGGGTAAATGTTAAGTAATGAACGTTGCATTCCTGAATAATGGAGCCCCTAAGAACGTCACTTGAATAATTATTCATAGTTATAGGCAAGAAAAGCAGGTTTTTATTATGGGATCTAATACCAAGAAAACAGCCAATAACATGTGAAATGTTGTGTCTGTATGTATACAAGAAAGGCAAGTGTATGTTCAGCTCTGCCTACCCTTCTTCTATGACAGGCATCAGACCAACTACTGCTGTGGAATAATCCCTCTGCACACTGTGAAGATTTGTCACTGTGATTGGTTTAATAAAGAAACTGACTGGCCAACAGCTGAACAAGATAAAGTTAGGCAGGGAAGGAGAAGGGTGGAGTCAAGAGAGATGCCAGCCAGCCACTGAGGAAGCAGGACATGTAGAAAATGAGGTAATAAGCCATGAGCCACGTAGTAAAGCATAGCTACAAAATATAGGTTAATTTAAATGTAAGAGTTAGCTAGTAACAAGCCTGAGCTATCAGCCAAGCATTTGTAATGAATATTAAGCCTCTGAGTGATTATTTGAGAGCAGCTGCAGGACAAAAAAACTCAGCCTACAGATTACTTAATATGTTTGAAGAAATCTACACTGAACTCACCTCATCTCCCCTTCATACCATGAAGAAACATCAATAAGTATGGCATGTATGATACAAGTCTTCAATCTGTATCAATTACACCCATCAATGTCAATGCCATTTTAACAGTCACCTTAAGACTAGCAGAACCCATGGATCCTGAGGTATCTTGTTTTGGCCAATTTTACAGTGTATTCAACAATAATAGGATCACTCAAGAATTCTATTTATTATCCACATTACTTGACCTGATTGATCATATATGGTATTTCATTTACAATGATTATTTTTTAATCTATAAAAAACTTCCAAATGGACTTGGCCAATGTAAAATTTTCAAACCACTTAAGAAGAAAGTCAAACCCATCTATCATCATGTACTTATCCTGAAGGACATAGATTCTAACAATATAACCTAAATGGATATATGGAATGATGTCAAAATGAGAAGTGATGCATAAATAAGAGCACATCTTTATCTGACTTGTTCCACCTTAAAATAGATTCCTACATCATCAGGTATAGTATGACTTTAAATGTTAGTCACATTATGTTGTTTCTATGTTTAAAACCTTACTACTTCTAAAAGGCTAAAATCATCACATACATGAGTCAAGTGTACCTGAGTACATTCATTAACATTGAAGTTCTTCTAATGACTTGCCAGACCCTATGGCACCAAGTCCCCTTTGCCACCCCTCACACATCAGGCTCTTTTATTTGTCTCATGTCACTCTCCTGGCTCCTTACTTTGCTCTCATCTCACTAGTCCTCTTGTTGCTTCAGGATCATTGCACCTGATATCCCTCCTTCCCCAAAGTCCCCTTACAGACTCTCCTCATCCTCTGCAGATACTAGCCTCCCCTGACCAATCTTGTCAAAAGAGCAAAGTCCTAGTCATTTCCTTGCTTGTTTTTTTCTTTTCTAAACATCATGTGGTCTGTTTATTCTGATTAGAATGTAAACTAAAACTTAACTCTCTGGACCGAAGTCTTTCACTTCTGTACTCCAGAGCCTAGAAAAACAATCTCTGCACAAGGCAGATACTCAAGATAAAGAGACTAAACAAAAGCTGGAATACTCTATTTGTTGCTACCTATCCTCATGTAAGCTCCATGAAGACAGGGACTGGTATCTTCCACTTTTTATGTCCACCAGCACCTAAAACAGAACCGAGACCATGGCTGGCACTCAAGATATATTAATGGACTCAATCATCTTTCTATTCCTTTGCCAGAGAACAGAAAGGAAACTTCACATCAGATCTGAGTATTCTCAACTTCTGTGTGGCTCTAGAATAATGCAGCTTGATGATGGCTGACTCATACCATTTTCGTCTGAGAAAATATATACCTATACTTGGTATATAAACTGAAGTGCAGGTTAAAAAAATGACATGGAAAGATAAGTAGGGAAATATTACTGCTCCTTCAGTCATTTAAAAAAAAAAAAAACCACCCGCTTACAGTACACAATTATCAAAATATAGAATACAAACAAATTTACTTTCATTTTCCAGCATTTCTCCTATCTTATTAATCAAGTGTTTTTTGAAAGCTTTAACCCTGCACTTCTTGTCCAAATACTGCCCTAATTCCTAACACTGAATCAGGAGACATTTACTTCTTGTTTTCTTTCTGTTGCTCTGACTTTGGTATACTGAAAGTGAGAATGGTAAATAAAATAGAGTGTGGCTACTAGAACAAATGCAAGAGCCTCAAGATGAGGTCCTTGTTTTCAGCACCAAGACCAGCAGACACATTCTGTTAGCAGCAATGATGCTATTGTCTGGATGTTGAGTGGCAAGAGCAGAGTAATCACTGCTGACACCTCCCTGGAGATTAGGACAAAGTCCTTCCAGTCAGCCAAACTAATCAGAGGTCTCTCACCCTTCCTGTGATTACCCAAGGAAAGCCAGAAGGTCAGCAGTGTTAGACATTCATTTCCTGGCCTCCCTTGAGCTTACTATACTGGGTCAAAATGGACTAGAGTTTGTTTTACATAAGACCAATTCATCTATAGCTTCGTCCAGTTTCAAGATAAATCCATAGGAGGGAACTACCACATCTAAAGGCTAAAATTATAGTCTTTCTTTCAAAATTGACCAGTTCCTCATAAAATACAAAGAGACTGCTTCATAAAAGACTAAGAGCTTACTGGTTCCAGAGCTGGACTCTAAGATTAGAAGCTGAAATTCACATCCATAGTGTCTGAGAAGTATAACTTATGCACTGCTTACAAAATCATAATAAAAGGTCGAAGGACAAGAAAGAATGTAACACCACCACAAGCACAGCTGTTCCTGAGCAGGAACAAGCTAGGGAGTCCTCTACATCTCATAGCCCAGATAGCAAACTCCAAGCCACAGTCTCTGCACAGTGCATAATCTCCCAAAGGTCCTTGAAGGGCAGTTGCCAAAAAGGGGGCCAAGCATGTTGCTCTGCACTCCTCACCCCAACATTACATAAGCAGAGATCTCTAGCCCTCCTGGCATTTGGCATGTTGGGGTTCTGCAATGTCTCATACTTATTTTTTTAAAGGTGAAAGGCGCTGCTTGAAAAATTACTGAAGAAAAATTAAAAAATGCCAGTAAAGGCTTTAGAGTCAGGGAGCCTTGAGTTCACATTCTAAATCTGTTGAGATAACAGAAGCAATGATGCCTGGCAACAAAAAAAGTCAGTGTTCAATACAGTAGCAATTACTGTTACTTATCAAAGTACAGTACAAAAAAGTACTAAAGGAGTGATCTTTCAAATACACAGCCTAGGGGCTCAGGAAATGGCTCAGTGCTCAGTACGCGTTGCACAAGCATGACAACCTGAGTTCAGATCTCTAGCAGCCACAAAAGAGCTAGGCATGGTAGCACATGCCAGTAACCCTGGTGCCAGATGGAGAAAGACAAGTAAAGCCAGGAAGTTTGCTGGGAAGCCAGTCTAGCTGAATCAGGGAGCTTCAGATACAGTGAGATCTAGTCTCAAAAAAAAAAAAAAAAGAAGAAGTAGACAGTAATACAGGAAGATACCCAATGCTGACCTCTGGCCTCCATACACAGACCCACAGATACATACACACCCCACACACAATTTAAAATAAAAAATATGTAGCTAAGAACTACATAAATATGATGTGATAGTATGCAGTTTTTTTGTTTTTTGTTTTTAGTAGATCATCCCTTTGACCAAATATAAAAGCATCTCTTAGAAACTCACTTTGTCCTTTAGGCACTAAAGGCAGAGTACCCAGAAAACAACAGCTTCTCAAAATTGCAGAAACTGTCTTTATGAATCACTGGTCAAGGACCATTAGGCACACAAACCACACCTGTAAGGGAAAGTGACCACTGCCAGACAGGAAGGAAGAAGGCTCACCTGCTTGATTTTATTCCTTGAGTTAGTGATGCGCTCTGTGATGCTCTGGTAAGTGCGAATGGCTGTTGTCAGTTCTGTGTAGTGTTGAACGATCAACTCATCCAGGTCACGGTCACACTTCTCATAGGCTTCCTCAAGGCGGCCTTTCTCATTTTCTCTGTCTTCAACATCATCACTGGCAGACAGAGTCCTAGTGAAGACAGAAATTATAAAGCTGTGTCAAACTTCAAAGCAACAATCAGAAGACTAGTATCCAGTCAATACACTAGCACATTCATACTACAAACAAGGAAATGACATGAATTACCAGAAAATACAAAATAACCTTCAAGGTTGATTCCAACACCCACCTAAGTACATGCACAGGTTGCATAGCCACAGAGTCCACCCTTCATCTATTCTCTTGACCTCTGAATTATTTTAATCAGACAGCAAATGGGCATGGATATGGAGGGAAGCAGGGCAGCTCTTGATTTATAAGAATCATGGTAATTCCTAACAGATCCATTCTTCTTACAACTTTGGCTAACAAAACCTACAGAACATCTAGAGAAAGGTCCCTTCTCCAGCCCAGGACACTGACACATAGAGCTGAGATTCTCAGACACTTCTGTCATCTATGGAAGCAAAAAGCATAGCAAATGCTACTGCAGCTGTGTCCATGGGCAACATGAAGGAGCCATCCCTGAAGCTGCCCTTCCCTCAAGACTTCTTGTTAGGGGAGATAATAAATATCATTGTTTAAGTCGCTCTGGATGGCCTTCTTTCATACGTGGCTGAAATATACTAAGGGATAAAATTTCTCTCACTGAGGAACCACCTTCTAAAAGCTCACGAGAATGGCCTGAAATTGGAACAGAGCACCCAGCAGCCTGGGGATAAGGTCACGTTAATTCTAAAATCTGTTACAACAGCAATAACCTAAGCTGCACTACAAGATGGTGCCTGCATTCACTATTCTTCAAACAGCACCAACAAGATTGATAGGAATCAACAATAACCAGACAATGAGATAGGTACACTTATTAAAAATCTTTCAATAACTCAGTTTGATACATGGGCCACAGATCTTTGTTTCCTCCATTATCTTTCTTGAATAATTTTTTTTAATTTAGTATTATAATAAAGAAACCTTTTTCTCTTATCTGCTCCCTGTGGTAATTTAGAGTTTCATTAAATTCCCTCAGATTTGTCAGCTTATATAATCAGCCTAGCTTATTTCATTTATCTTTTTTAATTTAGGGAGGGGGATATTTTAGGCTCTCAATGATGGATGCAATCAATTATAAGTCCATCATTAGAACTGCTTTCCGAGATGGTCTGTCAGCAAATCAATCACATACCCACTTCCAGATACTTTCAAGCAAAATACTGTACAACATTCTTCTCCAAACTGTCACTCAGAGCAAGGGGTCTTAATTCATGAGCCACACAATATATAAAACTTCTTTTTCAATTTAGAGGGGAATTCAGGAGGCCTGTCTGTGACTTCAATGTACCTTCCAAAATGAATTCTGTGAATGTGTTAGGGATGCCAAGAGATCAAGTGTTGCATGAAATGAAACACTACTGGGAGCTATGAAGGGCAGTACCAGGCCAGACCCTATTTCCTCATCTGTAAACTCGTGCTCCTAAGCCAGTCCATTTCCAAGGTTGTTTTCAGGTAGAGAATACACAAGTACTTAACTACTAAAGTAAATCAACTTGGTCTCAAAGGGAGAGCCAAAAAAATCACCTTCAATATTTGGTTCCGAGTATCTTAGCATGTGTCTCTGTTGTTTTTATGACATATAACCTTGCTCTTTAAATCTGAAACCTTCCAGGATGTTAATCTAAAGAACAATCAAGAAATGCTTTCAATTTACCAACTGTCCCATTGGCAAGAGTTTCTGGGTATTTTCCTCCATCACCTGTGCAGTGCTACACAGCAGGAGCCTGCCATTTTCCCAGTACCTCTCACATTCTCCTTCCCCCTCACAGACACACTGCCATTTGTGGAAGGAACATGCCAAACATCTCACACTGTTTACCTTAACTAGTCAGAACTACCATTAAGGAAGATGTCAGGCCCAGGGAGGACACCTTCTCTGGCATGAGCTGTCACTGCAATGCATTACTGGATCATTAAGAGTTACTCAGGAAAGAGAAAGGGTTACTAAAACGAAGATTAGGAGTAAATTGAGTCCACAGGGGATCTTTTCTCCTATTTTCATTTCCAGAGGAAATATTTATATAAGAACTATCCTGTGCCAAGTTTAACTCACACTGAAAGTTCATCCTCTTCTTTTTGATGTAACCTAAGATGGATGTTTGTCTTTAGTCAAACACATAAAACTCTAAAATTACAAATTGTTACAGTATTTTTTTTAATTAGTGAAGGGAAAGGCAGTAAAGATAATGAAAATAAAGGCCTCTAAATTTTAGAGAGGCTTACACATGCAAGAAACCAGTTTTATTTGACTTTTTATCGAATATATGTCCACTCCTGTTGGAGTGGGGCCTGTTGTTATCTTCCAGCCCTTTCCACTAGAAGTAGCTGAGCTTTGAAGAGATTAATTTGCCCCCCTCACATAATGAGAATAAGAGATCCTAGAAGGGTTGAAAACCCAAGTTGGTCTGTTTATAGATTAGGTTTTAAACAACTGCAGAGTAATTAAAATCTATCTCAGAACTCTTAACTACCCAGGCTGAGCTCTTTATTCCAGCACACCTACTACCCAGTGTCATGGAAGTTTGCATGTGCTGCCCTGTTAGTGCCAAAGGTGTGGGGTCCTGAAGCTTACTTCCAAACAAAAAGAGATATTAATATCACGTCATAGGCACAATCATTCTAAACTACATTTTTTGTTCTTCTCAAGTTTTAGTTTGGAGGGGTTTTTGTCTTTGTTTGTCAAGTGGAATTTAGGCTGGAATTAAAGCTGAGTACACTTGACCCCAAAGCCCAGTCTCTTTCTACCATACATATGAATTGCTACTTTTCCTGCCTCAATCCCAAGCTGAGGACTTCACCCTAACCATGTGACAGCTCACCTGTAAGAAAGTACTGGTCAGCTAAAGATGAACATGAACATGAGGCCCTACAGTTTTTTCCTTCTTTTATTTTTGTTGGGTTTTTCTTTTTCTTTTTCTTTTTTTTTTTCCCCGTTGTTGTTGTTGGCAGAGGTAGAGGGGTAGGAAGGAGGGAGGGCTTGAAAGAGGGATTCCCTGTACAGCTCTGGCTATCCTGGAACTCTCTACAGAGTGGCCTCGAACTCACAGGGATCTGCCTGTCTCTGCCACCTGGGTGCTAGGATTAAAGGCGTACATCACCACCACTGGCTGTTTTGGTTTGGTTTTTGGTTTTTCAAGACAGGATCTCTCTGGCTAACTTGCTCTGTAGACCAGGCTGGCCACAAATACAGAGATCTGCTTGCCTCTGCCCACTAAGTGCTGAGATTAAAGGTGTGTGCCACCAACACCCAACAACAACAACAACTACTACTACTACTACTTCTTCTTCTTCTTCCTCCTCCTCCTCCTCCTCCTCTCCTTCTCCTCCCTTTTCCCCCCTCCTCCTCCCTTCTTTTTCTTTTTAAGAAATGCTGCTGGACCTGGCAAAGAGGTTTTAAAAAAGAACAACAAAAACAAAAAGGCAGAAGGAAAGGACAATGATGTAAAGTTGGCACTCCTAGATACATTCAACTTACACAACCACTCTTTAGATTTTGCCCTTATTTGATGTAAACTGTGATTATGATTTACAAACTGGTGCGGAGTTCACACAGGAACACAAAAAGGTAAATAGATCGCAGTGAAGCTGGACACAGAATTTTTCACTCAGACAGCTCTGGTATTTTACATGATGAATTGCATCTCTAACCAGGACTAATTAATCCCCAGGAAGGAATGTGTTCTCCTAACAGGCTAACGGGCCACCAAATCCTTCCAGCAGGAACAAGGATGGCAGATTGTGCCAGTGGATTCACAAGGGACCAGCTCCCAAGGAGTCCCACAGACAAGCATTAAAACATGGAATAAAGATCCAGAGACTGAAAATGGAGTTCATTTGTTTCTTTTCTTTCTTTCTTTCTTTCTTCTTCTTTTTTTTTAAAAAAAAAAATAGCAGCTTCAGTCTTTCAGTTGACCAGACAAATGTTGTGAAAGGAAAATAAGCACTCACCATCATCAATTCCTTCCACGGAGTAATCCTGCTGTCATTTTGGACTTTATAGAGTAATGGAGTCCAGACAGAGACAAGAGCATGAAAGTCAATGCCTTTCTTTTAAAAGATCAAAGGAAGCACAGACAGAAGAGAAAGTGCACCTATGAAAATCTGGTTACTCACCAAGACAGCCCATCACTCACCAAAGCTAGAACTTTCAATCAAAGACAGAGGAAAAGAATGGAAGAAGAAAACAACCAAATCCATGCTGCTGTTGGGAATACACCAAACCCTTCTTAGAACACTCAGTAGACATGTCACACAGAGGCATTCAGGGTTTGCAGAAGGAGCTTGGTGGGACAGTACTTGCCCAGTATGTGCAGGGTCCTGGGTCCAGTCCACAACATGCACAAAAGTTCACTTTTCTTTCCCCATACCACTTATCTGTGCAAAAAAGTTGAACATATTAGCTGGGTATAGTGGCGCTCTCCTTTAATTCCAAAACTCAGAAGGCAGAGGCAGGTGGATATTTGAGTTAGGTATGGTAATCTTAACACTTAGAAAGGCAGAGGCTGGAGGATCAGGAGTTGAAGCCAACCTCAGCTACAAAGTGAATTTGTGGCCAACCTGGATTATATAAGACCTTCTCATAATAAAGCAAGAAAACAAAACCATAAAAAGTATCCTCATAAAATCAAACAAATAGTTGTTCTCAAAAGTTAAAACTGAAGACTCAAATAGGGCTTTGCAGTGGGGCAAGCCAGCATTATCTTCTAATCCCAGACACTTAGAAGCTAAGGGAGGAGCATCATGACTTTGAGGTCAGCCTGAGCTACACAGTGAGGCTCTGGCTTAGAAACAGAAATCCTTAGTAAACAAAAACAAGTAGAACTCGGCAACCTCAGTGAGGTCCTCAACCTCTCTGGGTGTTTTTCCTTGTAAAACAGGAAAGAGAATAAGAACACCTGCCTCTCCAGGACATTTCAAGGACTGAAGAAGTGTGGGAAGGTGCCATGCAAAATATAAAGCAGAATGGAAATGTGGACTCA